TGTTTAGTATTCAGTTTAGTTCTCAAGAATATTTTCATTCAGTTTCATTCAATATCTTTTATGATATTATCTTTATTAACTCGTTAAGGAGAACCAAACAATGCGAACGGTTGCGCTGTTCTCGATCCTTCATCCGGCAGGTGGAAAACGAAAAATTGCAAAGACTCGGCGCCGTATTACTGTCAGAAGGCAATGTCCGACGGTAGGTTCTTGGTTTAAATCTTCTGATGTCGCCTGACTCGGCTGAAAATGGTTTTTAGACCCCAGTTCTTCGTTTCCGACGTGGCCGACAGTTCCGACGACTGCTTACGGTAGTTGAACTTTACAGATATTCCTGCCAAACGTTCATTACTCTTTAAAATTCCATATTTCAGTGGCCTGCACGGCGCCGTGGAAACAGTACAAGGACCATTGCTACTTTGTACAGGTTTACGCCGTTTAGTTGCGGCTTAGTGTGTAATGATTTTAGAGCCTAACGCTCGGCTCGGACGGACTTTGGCTCGCCTGGACTTTCGACGACGCCGAGTCGCAGTGTGAATCTCGCAACGCTAGGCTTGTGTCAATTCATAGCGATGAGGAGAACGACTTCGTGAATGGTGGGTAGGAGTATTTGGCAAAAACTGATAAAGGGCAATACTTTAAACATGGTAACGCTTGTAGAAAACTAGAGCAGTTATCACATTTAAGGGTTAATTACTACGCACGGCATCATCAACCAAACACAAATGATCCCGGAAGGGATGGGAGCCTGTGGATATGCCTGTGCTTGGATTGGATTGCAGTAAGTTAAATGTATCGCTACACTATGCTCGCTACTATTTACGTAGAAAGACTTGGGCAGAGGGAGAGAGAGAAGAGGGAGAGAGGGTGAGAGAGCAGAGAGATGATAAGATAGATAGAGAGAGAGAGATAGATAGTTAGATAGAGAGAGAGAGGAGAGAGAGAGAGAGAGAGAGTGAGAGAGAGGGGGGAGAGGGGTACAGAGGCGCCCTCGTAGCAAGTACCTGAAAAAAATGAGAAATGAGAAACCCCAGATTTTATCGCATCACTTCGAGACTTTAGGCTATTCCCCGACAACACTACCGCTTGGACTGACGGAACACCGGTGGATTACCATAAAGGACTGTATCCTGGTCCTGAGAAATATGTCTTCGGGGTAAGTTCACTTCTCAAACCATGCGGAATAACTTTTTAGATGCTACACGATGAATCGTGCGAAATCGACTGGGAAGGCTGGGGTACGATGGCCATCTCGGCACGTTACATCTGCAAGAAGGGACTTAATTGGCTGCACTGAACTGTTGAAAGATTTTGGCGCATAAATGATGGTTTTTCTGTGATTTATACGGACGTAGTAAAAAGCACCACTCCATGACTAAATTGGCAGCTCAAGTTTTCTTGACCGTTTTGCCGACTGGTTTCCAACAAAGCCACGGTCATTTGTAAACAGCGAAAGTTCGGGCTAAATGGACCCAGAAGCAAGGTAACTTAGCCTCTTGCAGACAGGGCATCGACAGCTCGGCGCTACGCTTCACACTGCTGCAACCACATTTGGACTTTGCTTTTAGACAAATTTAGTGGGAGAAGGGCTTGAACGTAGCTTGTAGCGGTTCGTAATTCTCGGTGCCGAATCCTTGGTGATTTAGAATCCAGCTGCCTATCGAAGGTTAATATTTTTCCTTGGCTCACGGAAATTTGGAAGAATCTTTCCGCTCTGTGTTTATCTCAAAACTAAGCACGGTAACTTCGAAAAGCTGAAAATTATGTCTTTTAGTACAATTTTAGATCCCGCATGGCTGGGTCTCTGGGGGGCGTCAGAATGAAGCCTTATATTTTCTAGAAACTTAAGATTCACAAAATATAACAAATCTTCACGCCTATATAGTTTCATGCCACGCAAAAACGGCTCGGAATTTGTAGCCGCTAGGACTTTTACTGAAATTCAGAAGATCATTCAAAGGGCTGTATGTGTTACAGATCGGTTGCGAGGAAGGCCATGCGGTTAATCTTTAAAAATATAACAAATTCTCGTTTTTATCTAATTTTAGACCCGGCAAAAAACCACTCGGAATTTGCAGCCGCTAGCACTTCCCCGGCGCCCTTTAACTCTTTCCGCCTTTTCAACCAAAATGTCCGTGATCGTCTGGGCCCTCTACCCTTTGCCCACTATCTCGTCGGCTCACAGGTCAATCGGCCCGGCCCGGCACACACGCACCACTCAGCCCGCACAAAACCCCTACGATTTCAGGGCTATAAAACTATGCATTAATGTACAATTTTTATACCTTTTTAAACTAATCTGAATGTACATTCGATTCTCTATCGAATGAGCTGAAAATCGTAGCTTTAGCCTTGCTAAAAAGCACCCCTTGTTCGCTCCCCAAAATAGGCTAAAACTGCTCCGAATTTGGGATCAATTTTCTATCGATTAATCGTCATTTCTGATAGAATTTTTGTAGGAAACCAATAGTATACCAAATTCCCTATAACATCTACTCAAAATCTGCCCGAAAACCAGATTATAGAAGGCACCCAAATTTACTTCCCCACCCTACAAAACCCCGCAAATTCCTGCCCCAAATTGAGCGCGGGAAAGTTGGACAACACAGAAATTTTTGAAAGATTCCTTCGCTGTGGGTATACGAAATTTAATATATCTAAACTGACGTTTTTCACAATCTTTAATCTCGCTTTGGCCATTTGCCCAATCCCGAACACCCCCCGACGGCCGGTCACCCAAAAATCGATATTCGCCCACATCGCGTTCCCGCGCCACCCCCCGGGGGATGTCCCCTTGAAATGTGATTTGCATATATAATTGGTGGACAATGGCCCTAAAAGTATGTTATTTTACTTAAGATTAATCAAGATTAAATTTTCCATTAGTTGAGTTTGTAATTCATTGAAAATCTGATTGTCCAATCTCGAAAGATCAAAGGTCGAAACCGCGCTAGCTTTTTTTAATTTCTCCATTTTTCGTTACTTCTATACCAATTCAAGCGTAGTTTTTTATCAAGTAAATCGTCGGTGCGTTCTTTATTTTTGAATGACCGTAATCCGCGTTTGACTTAATCCGAGAAGCTCCATTTTCGAGGCGTTTTTTGATGATCTTGCGTTCATATTCTGGCTTCTAAACTCCACGATGCCTTTAAATGGTTTTCTCTTGTATTACAATATTCTTCTTAAAATAGTTGATGCAACTGCCGGAATCCATGCTAATCTTCATGGAAAAATGACAAACGGTCCAATTTTCGGCTAATCCCCACAATCCGATGATTTTCATCCAGCTTCATGATTTTTTGGCGATTTTCCAACCTCCGTTTTTGCCTCTTTTCGGCTTCCCCTTTCGCCTCGGGGAAACACAATTGCCCCTGACGCGTAACTACTCGCCCCTTTCTTTTCGTCTTTTCACAGGCTTTTTATCAGCTTCAATTGTCCGGAAAACTGCCTTCTTGAGCTTTTGTAATTTGTTGCTTCTTGTAGCCTCAATAGCTAGCTAATAGCTTCTTGCTGAATTCCACTTTCGTACTACGAAATATAATCGCCTTATCTGAATAAATGCTAGTAAAATAGGTTTTTGAAATTTCCCAAGAACCCCATGACGTTGATTGCCACAACTTAAAGGTACACTAAAGTCTCTCGCGTTGGTTTGGTTACCGGCCGGTAACCGTCTGCGGAATAGAAGAAAACAGGGTTACGGTAGGCGCTCACGCCGCGGAACAAAACCGAACCCTGACTGCCCGGCAGGACCGCGCCCAGGACCACTAGGCCAAGGGGAGGCAGGAAGGGGGAAGAAGAGAGGAGCGTATAAGAGGGCTATGAGGTCAGCTGCGGCAGAGTGCCCCAAATTTCCTACCACCACCGAACTTTTTGAACGAGATTTTAGTGTACCTTTAACGCCTCTAGGCGTATTTTCTACTTTTTAACGACCAATAGTTTATATTGGTTTTATCAACGACCGCCTCTCTCTCTCCGTTCCAATACAGTCCTTATCACACGTTATTGATGCCCCCACAAAAAACTTTGTTATCTCTTTTAGGGCGGATAAAATGAAGCGGAAAGATCGGAGAGACCGAGGACGATCAAGCCATCGACGTCTTCCAAAAATGAGAAGAGCCCCGTCGAAGAAGGGCCGGAAATCAAAAGAACGACGAAGGAGAATCATCGGCGAAGCAGACCCCGAGTCCCTCGGTCAGTAATGAGAATGAGAATACGGTGGGTTACGGTGGAAAGGGCAATTTTTAGTTGATAGAATGTAACAAAAAAACGAAATTCTTAAAACACTGCTATTTATCCGTATTTTTGGATTTTCAAACTCCAATAAGTACAGTCAAATTAGCCAAAAAAACCTACGAAGCCCAATCGTTCTGGATTTGGCTTGTTCCGGTGGTGCTTTTCACGAAAAATGCCCCAACTCTCATAAAAATCGTTTTTAGGAAGATGGCTTCGACGCGAAGAGTACAAAACCTCCCTACTTCCTCCCGCTGACCAAATTGAACGACCACATTCCGTGCCAGATTTGCAAGGTTCGTTGGAAAGTTGTAGCTGCGAAGTTTGTAGTTTGTATGAAAATCAAGACGATTTGAGCTCTAAAAGTATCACATTTTAGGGGTACCTCATCGATGCTTCTACCGTAGTGGAGTGTCTTCATACTTTCTGCAATCCTGTTTGCTGAAGCATTTGAAATTGAAGCTCAACGAGAGGGCCATTTTTATACCGCCTTGTCTTATCATTATTAGATGATCTCTTGATGTTATCTCGCATTTTACATCAAGGCAAACTAGTAGAGATTCTTATTAGGATCAAATCACTTTTGTCCCTTAGGACAAGGACAATTGCCCCCCAGTGCGAGCGAGCTGATTCACCAGTCCCACCCGTCTCACTATGTCGCTTTTGACCGCACGATGCGGGATCTTGTCTCCAGGCTTGTGCCAGGTAAGTTTTTTAAGTTTTAAGCTATAATAAAGCCATTTTTAAGCCATAAATTGTAATTTCTTTATGAAAATACGAAAAGCACGGAAACGACCAATTCAGGAATGTTCGCCGAGGAAAACGGAAGATACGATTTCCTGAGACGGCAAGAATAAAAAGCTTGGGGCATTATCGATGAGCCGATGCCCGGGAAGAAGGTTAGTTTTTAGAAAAACAAGATTGTGCAGCTTGCCATTCGTCAAATTGTAAATTGTAAATTTATCAAGTAATGTAAAAATCGTAAAATACATGTTTTTAGGAAGAGAGAGTCCTCGATGTTGGTCCCATGTATAAATGCTATCAAACGAAACCAGGAGTGTCGCATCACCGGCAGGGGAGACGGAGTACGAGATAAAAAACTAAGAAAACTAAAACTAAACTAAACTTAAAATTCTTTAGAAAACTAAAAGTACAGGGTGTCCCAATAAAAAGGTCACGCTGGTATTTTGCTATTTCAAATCCGATCGACTTGAAATTTTGCACAGAGGTGCCGGAGGGAATTTCAGCTGTTCACAGAAACTTTCAGCCCGATCGGTACAGTAGTTTTCGAGTTATTGCAAAAAATACGGTTTTTCCCACACTTTAGCTTCATTTTTTTCGGCTATCTTTTTGGACTTTGCATCAATTAACATAAATTTCCCGCTCTAAATCCCTTATTCTTGTTAACATCGGCCTCGTTAGCCCTTGTTAAAAATACTTAAATAGTCATTTTCGACCCGAATTTTGCGAAATAAAAATTCTAGGATAAAAAAGTTAGGCGCTTCATTTTTTCCATACATTTCAGGGCTCAATCCCGGCGGAATCCAGGTGAAAACGTAAAATAAAGTTTATTTTTGCTATAACTCGAAAAACTACTGTACCGATCGGGCTGGAAAGTTTCTGTGAACGTTTTGAATCCCCTTCTTCACCTCTGTGCAAAATTTCAGGTCCATCGGATTTGAAATAGCGGGAAATGCCAGCGTGACCTTTTTTTATTGGGACACCCTGTATTTCCCAAAAAGTTACGTTTTGGTGGTAATGCGCAAAATACTTAATTACAAACGGTAAAACAGGATAAAACCCATTTTTTTTGAGTGCAATGAAATTGGAACCTCTCCGCCATCATGGCCTTGGGAAAATCGGCGCGTAGTATCGTTGGGCTACATTCCATGGCCACGATAAATACGATAAAACGGTTGGTTTTTAGAAATTTTGGCCAAAAATAAGTGTCAAAAGTATCGGAACTAAGTTAAAAATGCTAGATGTTTCAAGAGGCTCTTTGGCGCTTCTAACGCCTCTGGAACGACGTGGCCAAAGTACCAAGAGCTGGACGTGTTCTGCTGC